GAATACACTAAGTGTAGCTGAGTGTTAGTGCTAAGGCTTCAGATTCTCCTCGCTTTTCCTGAGGTTGTTTTTTTTATTTTGTTTATTTTGTCCTTTACGTGAATTTTGATTCGTGTTCTGTTAATGTTGAGTCTGAGTGTTCTGCCAGCATCCATATGGTGGATAAGACGCTTGTTAAGGGTAATGGGTCCACTCTGAGTATTCTGCCAGCATCCATATCTTGGATAAGACGCTTGTTAAGGATAATGGGTCCACTGTTTACCTTTGTAATATGTATTATTCGTAACTTTTATTTGTTGGTACTAATTATTTGTAGAAATATTTTGTCTGGTAACTCTACAAGGAAAATTGATGTGTAATTTTCTGTGTTGATGGGAGGGGTTTTTTCCCGGCTTAAGAATTAATCTGAAAGTGGCATTTTTGAAGTGTGTGGGGAATAGTCTAGATCCAAGATTTGTATTTAATATTTGTCTACATTGATGGGTTGCAGTTACTGGAAGGTTAGGCAATAGTAATTTGTTGTTTTGCTAATTCCCGGAGCCTTGTTATTGAATTGTCTATTAGGCTTTTGGGGCTCTTCGGTGGTTAAGTGTTTCAGAGGTGGCACTTATTGGTGATGTTGTTCAGGTATGTTGTTAGCGTTGGTAGTAATTGTTATTTGCTTAGCTAAACGAACTAGAGGGTTCAGTTCCTGAACCAATTATGTGCCTCTGTAATCCTTTACACCACCGCCCACGGGATGGGTATGGGGGGCATAATAAAGAAAGAAATTGAATGGTAGTAATTTACAGCTTTGTGGGGCAGCGGTTGGCAGTTACTGGTTAGTCAGTTATCGTGTATTGTGGTCATTAACTATCATCAGTTATATTAACAGTGTTCACAGTAATTTACTTGTTAACTTACCTTATATGAAGACTAGTTACTGTTATTCACATTAATTACTCACCGTATTTTCTCTGTTGGTGGGGACAGAACCTTACCTGTAGGTTACCTTGAGGTGCTTCCGGGGCTTAGCGTCCCCGCGGCGCGGTCGTCGACCAGGCCTCCTGGTTGCTGGACTGGTCAACCAGGCTGTTGGACGCGGCTGCTCGCAGCCTGACGTATGAGCCACAGCCTGTTGATCAGGTATCAACCAGGCTGTGGTCTGACAAAATGTCAGAGGCTGACATTTTTCTCAGGGACTATACTGAATGCTTTTCCCAGTACTTTATAAAGTACTTTATAAAGTACTTTATAAAGTACTTTTCTCTGTCCTGGTAGAGTGTTTCTGGAAGCGTCTTTGCTGTGCGATGTTTCCCCGGTTGAGGCTTCCAACAGCTTTCTTACTCCCTCCAGAATTGTCCTGAATTTCTGTAGTCAGTTTGGATTTGACTGGTTAGATCGTCCCTTTTTGAATGTGCTGTGTTGTCCATAACTCTTGCAGGTCATCCTGTAGTGAGCGTTGTAGTCTTGTACGCTCGTCAGTCCATCTTGCTGTGTGTTGTAGGTTATAAGAGATGGTTATATGTGGTGTTGTGAGTGGCTGCGGAGGTGTGGCAGTGTTAGGTGGTTCAAGTTCAAATAGGTTTATTGAGACAAGAAAGAAATACATCTCAAAGGGATAGAGTAGCTTAGGCTATTTCTACCCTCCGTGTTAGGCGGTGAGCTACGGAGACGTCTTCCTTTATGCTTGTCTCTATAATAGCTGTCCATTTATTTAATGTTATGTCTTCTGAGTGTTGGTGGATGACCCTCACGCCGTCTTCCTCCATCTATTCCCTCCGTCCCTGTCTCTTTTCCTCCGTCTCAGTCTCCTTCCCTCCGTCCCTGTCTCCTTCCCTCCCTCTCTGCGACTGGCGTTCAATCATCTCCCTCCCTCCCTTCCTTCCCGCGCAACATAATGTTTGATAATTTGTGGAATGCGTGTATTATTAGCGAGGTCGACGGGCTTAACAAATCTGTCATCAGCTTCCACTTGCCCACAAGTGGGTATTATCTCCTTCATCTCCCGGCGGCGCATCCCAACCTGGTTCAGGGTCTTCACAGCTCTGCCTCCAGTACAGTAAGGTCTGTACCTGGGTCTTCAGACTCTTCTACCAGTACAGTAAAGTCAGTACTGGGTGGCCCAGGGAAAAACTAGTAGGGTAAGGCTTACCATGAGCTATGGGAAGGGAAAGCTCTCAGCCTGCTAACAGGAGTCAGCAGTCGTCTGCTCCTGTACCCACCTGTGTGTAAAACTAGTAGGGTAAGGCTTACCATGAGCTATGGGAAGGGAAAGCTCTCAGCCTGCTAACAGGAGTCAGCAGTCGTCTGCTCCTGTACCCACCTGTGTGTAAAACTAGTAGGGTAAGGCTTACCATGAGCTATGGGAAGGGAAAGCTCTCAGCCTGCTAACAGGAGTCAGCAGTCGTCTGCTCCTGTACCCTCCTGTGTGTAAAACTAGTAGGGTAAGGCTTACCATGAGCTATGGGAAGGGAAAGCTCTCAGCCTGCTAACAGGAGTCAGCAGTCGTCTGCTCCTGTACCCACCTGTGTGTAAAACTAGTAGGGTAAGGCTTACCATGAGCTATGGGAAGGGAAAGCTCTCAGCCTGCTAACAGGAGTCAGCAGTCGTCTGCTCCTGTACCCACCTGTGTGTAAAACTAGTAGGGTAAGGCTTACCATGAGCTATGGGAAGGGAAAGCTCTCAGCCAGCTAACAGGAGTCAGCAGTCGTCTGCTCCTGTACCCACCTGTGTGTAAAACTAGTAGGGTAAGGCTTACCATGAGCTATGGGAAGGGAAAGCTCTCAGCCAGCTAACAGGAGTCAGCAGTCGTCTGCTCCTGTACCCACCTGTGTGTAAAACTAGTAGGGTAAGGCTTACCATGAGCTATGGGAAGGGAAAGCTCTCAGCCTGCTAACAGGAGTCAGCAGTCGTCTGCTCCTGTACCCACCTGTGTGTAAAACTAGTAGGGTAAGGCTTACCATGAGCTATGGGAAGGGAAAGCTCTCAGCCTGCTAACAGGAGTCAGCAGTCGTCTGCTCCTGTACCCACCTGTGTGTAAAACTAGTAGGGTAAGGCTAACCATGAGCTATGGGAAGGGAAAGCTCTCAGCCTGCTAACAGGAGTCAGCAGTCGTCTGCTCCTGTACCCTCCTGTGTGTAAAACTAGTAGGGTAAGGCTTACCATGAGCTATGGGAAGGGAAAGCTCTCAGCCTGCTAACAGGAGTCAGCAGTCGTCTGCTCCTGTACCCACCTGTGTGTAAAACTAGTAGGGTAAGGCTTACCATGAGCTATGGGAAGAGAAAGCTCTCAGCCTGCTAACAGGAGTCAGCAGTCGTCTGCTCCTGTACCCACCTGTGTGTAAAACTAGTAGGGTAAGGCTTACCATGAGCTATGGGAAGGGAAAGCTCTCAGCCTGCTAACAGGAGTCAGCAGTCGTCTGCTCCTGTACCCTCCTGTGTGTAAAACTAATAGGGTAAGGCTTACCATGAGCTATGGGAAGAGAAAGCTCTCAGCCTGCTAACAGGAGTCAGCAGTCGTCTGCTCCTGTACCCACCTGTGTGTAAAACTAGTAGGGTAAGGCTTACCATGAGCTATGGGAAGGGAAAGCTCTCAGCCTGCTAACAGGAGTCAGCAGTCGTCTGCTCCTGTACCCACCTGTGTGTAAAACTAGTAGGGTAAGGCTTACCATGAGCTATGGGAAGGGAAAGCTCTCAGCCTGCTAACAGGAGTCAGCAGTCGTCTGCTCCTGTACCCTCCTGTGTGTAAAACTAGTAGGGTAAGGCTTACCATGAGCTATGGGAAGGGAAAGCTCTCAGCCTGCTAACAGGAGTCAGCAGTCGTCTGCTCCTGTACCCTCCTGTGTGTAAAACTAGTAGGGTAAGGCTTACCATGAGCTATGGGAAGGGAAAGCTCTCAGCCAGCTAACAGGAGTCAGCAGTCGTCTGCTCCTGTACCCTCCTGTGTGTAAAACTAGTACTTCACTCCACCTAATGATCTTAAGTTGGATCGTTAGAGTTGCAGTAGTTGTCAGCCATCTTGGGAACAATACAGTAAATAAAGACATCAGGGGGTAGAGTGCCTACTAATCTCTGGTTTGCCGGAACACCTGGATGGAGGCTGCTACCTGAGAGGTGCGGCAGAGATATGATGGACGAGGGTGGAAATTACGAGGAGCTTGGAGAGTTGCGTTGATTCCAAGACTGGCCGAAGGGTGAGGTACAAGAATATGTGAGATAGTAAGGTACATCTCAATGGAATTGTGCATCTTTAGCTGTCACTATCTCTCTCCCTGTTGCAAGTCCCTCAAGGGGCGATTACTGCCCTTCTTTACTACAAGTGCAGCAAGGGGGTGATTACTGCTCGCCCCTTGCGAGCAGTAATCACCATCACAATTACTCTCCCCCTGATAACACAAGACCCTGAAGGTCATCACATAATCCTGCACACTAAATAACAGCCTACTGAATATGATCATTACATTAACCTTAATCACAATTATCATAATTATCTTTAATTATCATAATTAGACTGCAAGTAACAATTACATTAACATAAGTTCATTACATATTGAATTAATTTTTTTATCTATACGTTCATGATGCGATGTTTTTGATCCTTCTAAGACTTGTCCCTGTCACAGGGGGGGGGGGGGGGTAAGACCTCGACTATGGGTGTAAAAGTTATCATTTTAGAGTGGTGACCGGGGGCCTGACGGCTGAGTGGACAACGCTCGGGATTCGTAGTCCTAAGTTTCCGGGTTCGATACCCGTTGGAGGCGGAAACAAAATGGGCAAAGTTTCTTTTACCCTGATGCCGTTCCTGTTCACCTAGCAGTAAATAGGTACCTGGTTAGACAGCTGCTACGGGCTACTTCCTAGGGGGGGGGGAGAGGTTGGAGGGTTGTAGCAAAAAGGAGGCCTGGTCGAGGACCGAGCCGCGGGAACGCCAAGCCCCGAAATAATCTCAAGATAACCTCGAGATAACTAAGATAGCCTCAAGATAACTAAGATAACCGGAGATTCAACATTGCACGTCTG